AGCAGGAAGCTTCATTTCTCAGCCTAAAATAACTCTTGACAAAAAAACCCTTTTGATTTGTACACCTCTTCACTGGTTTTGCCAGCATAGTGGTTCATTAGGGTATGACCTTTTTCACTCTCCTATGGAAAACTTGTATAGCTATGCCAAAAGACTTATCTGTATATAAATCAAGCCCCCATGGGTTGGCCAGAAAGTTTTGTTAATTTTTCCAAGCTAACCCTTTCTAATCTCAATCAACAGGCATCTTAAAAAGCTCCCCTGTTTACATAGCTGGATTGAATGAGAGTTTTACATACCTGCAGCAGGTAACAAAAGAACCAATACAATTTAAGACATTGGTCTGATAACAATGCAAGAAAAACAAAAGTCACTTTTTTAAAATCAAAAAGAGTCTTAAAAAAAATGGATCTCAAACAGACCTCAAGAGGAACAGTCAGACACAGAAGGAATTTCCTTCAAAAGAAAGGCCATCATTATTTCCATTCAACAATGGGTTTACCTGTCCATTGTACAGAAAGGAGCTTTTGTTTGACACCTCTGCATGGGGAATAGCCCCCTTTTTCATTTGGATGTTTTCAAATACCTAGTGTAAGCTCATCAAGTCACCTGTATCAGAAATTAGATTCGTACAGCCAGCTTGAGGTCAGTTTAAGGTTCTTCCACAGATTTATCACTTGATTTTGATTTTCAAGTTTTTCTTGACAAAGTACATCCTGATTGTAGAAGGATGTAATCTGAGATACCACTTTATTTGTGGGAAAGCAATCCCCATCATCTCTGTAGTTTCCATCCTTCTGTGGATCCTTTCTCTCTTTTAATTCCATGGCTGGTCTAATCAAAAGACCATCCTCATTCATTCTGTAGTTTTTCATTGCTTTCTCCCTTCGCAGCTTCTGGATGTCTGCCAGCTGACGAAGCTTCTCTGGAAGCTCCATGCAAGTGGGCTAATAAGGAAAAAAGAAAAGAAACAGAAAAGAAATCAAATCAATACATATGCATACATATGCTCTACTTTTGTTAGTACCAGATAAGAGCTCCCACTGTAATTAGCCAATGGAACAGAACAATCATCTCACTACATCTCTGGAATATATCAACTGCCTGCAACACAAATACCTCAGGGGGAAAAAAGTGTGCATCCCCCCCTTCTTTTAAAGGCAACCCAAGGGAAAAATATTAGACTTGCATTTATTGTTTACTCCTTTATTATTGAAATCTTCAAGATTTAAGTAATACTTCACATATGGGATTTAGATGTCTCCTGAGAAACCTTTTGCACAATGAAATTGTTTTAAATCCCCAGAAGAGGCATAACCAGTTCATGTTTGCTTGTAGTAGCCACTGCACATGCAGCTTTCTCGGCTTTTCATTTAAAACCATGGTATTCTATCCTATAGGTAAAAACACCCCAAAACAACCTTATATGGGAAAAGCCAACACAGATTACAAATCAACAAAACAACTGCTTAGGAAGTACATGAAAGGAGATACACTCCTTGACTTGGTCCTGAGCAGTGTGTGGGACACTGTTTGAAATGTTACACTGAAGGATCTGCTCCTTAAGGAGTGCAATGCTCACCGTCTTTGTAGAAACAACAAAAAAATCCAGTTGCATTCAGCTGTAGAAGGGGCAGTTACACAAATAGGGAAGCTTGACTAAAAAGTAGTAACAGACAGCCAAGCAAATTCAATCCTAGCCAGTAGCACAGAGAACTTCAAGACAACATACAAGCAGCACAGAGTAAATGTCACGTAACAGCAAAAGATCACAGAAAGAGTGAAAGGGAATTGGCAGGACTACAGGTTAGAGGAATGGAGACTGAAGTAAGCATACCTCAGGCAAAGCAAAGCAACATCCAAATGAAGAAAATGGTAAGGATAAACTTAGAGGAAAAAAAATAAAGGGCAGGCCAGAATAATTTTATTGCTATTTAACAAAAATATAACAGAATTAATACAAACATGTATTTAAACATGAGGAGCACAACATGTCAGCCATGCTGCAGGGCCAAGTGATGATTAGAATACAAATGCAGCCCAGTAAAAAACCACAACATTTTCTCTTCTATATTCACCATGAAAAAAATGTGGAGATTACCCTATCAAAAACATTCACTGTATATCCAGAATCCGTTTCAAATTGTCCCATAAATACTTGATATCAATACTTGAAATATAAACAGCAAGGTGGATTTCACCCAAAATTCCTGAACAGTGAAAGATGAAAAGGCTGAACTTGTAACTATAGTGTATCTTGTGTAAAACCTGCCTTGATACCCAGGGACTGGAAGATGGTAAATGTTTAAAGAAGGTCCCAAGAAAGATACAGGAAGCAACATGCTGCTAAGTCAGATGTCTGCATGAGCATATGGGTAGAAACCCCAAGAACAGAATGAGCGAACATACAGATGGGATCCACTGGCAAGGAGTTACCACAGGGTTTGTAAAGTGAAGCCACACCTCGCAAAACCTACGTCTAGAAGTTTGCACAGATCAGAGAAAGGCTAAATAATTCAGACAGGATTACAGGAAAAAGGCAGAGCAAGCACTTACTTGAAAACACCCCACCTTCAGTTCTGTTTAACTAGAAAAACATAAATCCAGCTTCCCAACTGCTATAGTATTCTACAGTGAGAGGTAATCCACACCCTCAACCATTTAAAGCTAAGTTGCATGAAAATTCAGGCTGTATGTTCATAGTGATTAATATGCATTGTGTGCAGTCCCAACTCACCTGCCAATTAGGAAAACTTCTGGCTCGGGCAAGCAATTCTACTTAGAGAGAGAACAGAGTTTATGCCATCGTGTGCCATGAATGGGTTATCTGGTATTACATACTGCACTGCACCTTATCTACTGCAGCTTTACCTTCAGTGCATTGGGAAATCAGCTCTGCCGCACAGGGGTGTGCAGCTCCCCTACAGTACCAGAGCTCTGCTTGTGAACTATCAGCACTAAACCAACAAAGCACTGCACTTCTAGAAGAACATTTGCTTCTTGACACGATGGGTTCCCAGGCTGCGTTTGCTTCTTTGAATCTAAGTCCTAAACATCAAAAAGCAGATGCATTTCCAAGTACCTAACAACACACAATATGAATTTACAAGGAGAGTTAGAAATGTAGCACACACAGCTCCTTTACTAGCTCTTTTCTAGTGACAGAGTTGCAGAAGCACAGAAACCCATTTTACTTTATGTTTGCATCCACAAGAACAATTACTCCTGGCAGACAGTTATGCTGAAAACACAGGAGACTGCAGAGACCTTCAGGGTGCCAAGTTTGTGTTGAGTTCTCCCCCTCAGCAGTAAGGAAGATTATCAGTTTGAGAAAGATGCTGAAGAGGGAAGCTGAGGGTTTTGATAATCAAGCGCTGGGGATCAGAGGTTACTGTTCTGCATCTGGTTTGTGGGTAAAACGTCAGTTGCTTAGGAGGGAGTGTCCACTATTCAGAAGACTCAAGTACTACTTGCAGGTGATGACAAGAAACCACAGAACGTGTCAACATACATTTCAAGAACTCTCAGGATCAATGAGATGCCGTTCTCTTTATTTCCTGCCCCCCCTCCCCCCATTTTCTTCTTCATTCTCTTCTGTCAGTACTACATCAACAAGGGTGTTGCATTATTGGTTTTGGCTGCTGTGGACCAGTGGCAATACTTTACTGTTGCTAGCAACTGCTAGGATATGGGACACCCATCTTTTCCACATCCCTTTCCTGAAGGAAGCTCTAATCCATAGAGTTGCATCCTGCCACCTTGATAGAGTGGATCTCCCACCTGGCATAGCAGCTCATGGGCCAGCTCCTCAGTACGTCTTCTGTTACTGCTGAAACAACTATCAAGTGATAAAAGAATGTGTTTGGCTGTCCAGAAGCAAGGTGGAAGTCTTGCTGGAAGGGCTGCTCACTGGCTGATCATAAGTACTCTGTTTCTTTGCCATTTCCAGCAAGACATCTGAAAGACCAAGGGGAAGAAAAGATGGCTGAAACATCAGGTGAAATCAGGACTACCACCAGTGCTGCCATTGCTCACGAGAATTATGACATCTAAGTTAAAGACTCAAACATACCATTTGCACAAAACACGTAACTGCTGCTTGCTTTGCTCTTACCAGTTTATTGCTCTAAAAGCAATAAACTGTCATTAATCTCCATTCTACCAGCTTATCCATGGCCTCTGATAACCTAGGACTTTGTTCCCATCAAATTATTTACGAAAACTTGTCTTAAGAGAAAGTACAAGCTTCTGTTGAAATAACCTGGAACAAAACAAAATCCCCACCAGTCATGCATGTTCAAGAAACAAGACAAGATTAGACACAGGTTCATACAATTCTGCACAAGTCAGAAATCAAGCACTCCCAAATATGTTGAAGGCCACAAGGATGATCTGACCCTAGCAGAAGCTGTGCATTTAGCCAGCAAGCAATTCTTATATTCCGCCACAAATGGGGGCCTGTTAGAGCATACAGAAATTTCTCACTGAGTAACAAGAGATGCATGTGGAAAACTGACTGCAGAGATTGTGTGTACCGAGCCCAAGGAAGGATGGTGACAATTACATTCAGCCACCTTATTCACACTTCCTCAACTCTTAGCAGATTCAGTGATCCCTAAGGGTGAGTGAACAGGCTTGGCTTTTACTCCATGATTATGTATATTCACTTTTTCTTGCTGCTATTTCCAAGAGGAGAAAAAACAGGGTCTGGTCCAGATCTGCTCCCAGTGGCTGAACCCCCTGATTTAACAAGAGGAGAGAGTAGGTAACTGCCCCAGTAGTCATTATTCAACATTGTTGGTCATTACTCAGCATTATCCAATTCACAGGCAACTGGAAAGCCAAAGCATCTTTTTCACAAGGTGTACCCTTATACTGTTATTACACACAAAAGTCGTTGGCATTATGAACTTCTGGATGTGGCAGTGGCCCAGGAAAGATTAGGAGGATGCTGCCGTGCTAGTCCAAGCTGAAGTTCAGTGCTGTAAATCCTGATCCAGAAGCTGAGATTCAACATGTGACATGGGAAAGAATGTGGCTATGTACCCCATCCAGCTTCAGTACTTCATTTTTAATGAAGTCTTATGATTGAAACTGCAGTATCTATGTACTTGTTTTGCCAGTCTAGTTTCCATGGGAGTGCCATAATTTTGGGGAATGGGAGAAGGGAAAAAAAAAAAAAAAATCATTCTTCTGTGCAGCATGATGTGACTCAGTAAGATCAGAGGAAACAAGAGCAGGCCAGGGAAGCATGGCTCTGTTCATTGCTCTAGTCTGGGACATACTCTAACACCTTTGTAGCCCAGAGGCACAACAGAAGGCACGTCTACATAACTAATTTTCCCTTTGTCAAAATGCTGAAGACCTGGTGGTTCTGTTCAGAGAGCACAATTCAAGAACTAAAACAGATCAGAAGGCCCAGAAGAGGCTTCCTTACCTGGAGTGACAGAAGTTAAGTCTGTTTCCAGATCTGGTCATCTTCTCCAAGTGCCTGTAAATCAAAGAGGTGATGGTAACTTGCAGACTCCCTTGCCTAGTGGCATTTACTCCCACAACTTTCGAGTAAAGGCTTTATTCCTGTTCACTCATGAATTATGTCCACCTTCCAATTTAGAAGCTGCAGTACTTCAAGTATCTTTACAGCCCTGGAGCATTTATTGTCTTTGGCTTTGCTGCAGTCCTGCTTCAGCGACAGAGGCCTCTCAGTTCTCCAGCATGGAGAACGCATAGTAGATAGCATATTTCACATTTCCAAAATGTTTCCCTGGCAAAGGTATTTACGTCAGAATCCAAGAAGATCCATTACTTCTGCTGAAGTAGTGTTGGAACTGCACCAGATCACGTCTGCAGAACACAGTCATCAAGCAACACTGGAGTCAGTCTCCAAGATTAAGTGAAGCTCATTGTACCAGACTGCCGTTGACCAAGGGTCCAAGGTGGAGCACAAGTGTAAATCATAACTGGTCAGTGTGAAAAGTAAAATAGTCCAGTAAAAGCATTTTTCAGGTAGCTTTCAACTGTAGCTCAAAGTGCACAGAAGATATAACACACACCTTAGTGATGGATAAACTTTACTTCTATGTATCCATGAAAAAGCACTAGAATAAATGGGGGTGTGTGTGTAAGTATCTTGACTATTAGTTCATTCTGAGAATCAGATCCGAATAAAGGCTTTTTGATTCAGGGAATTAATACAGACTTAGCCAGAAAACCTAGAGGTTGCTTGCAAAGGATTCCCTTAAAGTTCACTTTGTTTACTTAGGGAAGAAACTGAAGTAACAGACCAGCTTTAACTAAACCAAACTCTATATCTGGAGTTTAAGTATGTATTGCAAGCAGATTTTAAATAAAGTAGAAGCAGCTTTCATTTGTGTGATCCTCTCTCAAGATATAGAAACAACACAAAAATGACTAACAGGGATGGTGAAAAAGGCTACTTTTACTATCCATACAAGATTTCTAAATCTTCTGCAAGAAATATGATTATCAGATGTGATATTAAATAGATCTTCAAACCGTCATTTCAAATTCTCAGGATCACATTAATTCCTTGGCTAATCTTATGGAATAAATGGATTTACAAAAGGATTGGCTTCAACAACCTAAGTACCACTTTAAAAAACTCTACAAACAAATAGCCCAATGCAAAACAGAATTTGTACTCTTTTCACTTTAACAGACTGTTCTTTTCCCTTGTGTCATGCCTACTTTCGCATACATTTCACACTGACAATTCAGATTCAAGCTAATTTTTTTTTTTCCATGAACTATGAACAACCTTCTTTTTTTGGCAGCTCTCCTCCAAAAAGAAGTTTTCAGATTTGACCTCTTCTCTTCCATCTATGAAACAAATATGACCTCCTGTGGTTATCTAAACTAATCTCCTCCTAAATCCTCAATAATGGGATTTACTGCTCTGAGCCCTTTAGTAATTCCCAAAGGATTCAAGTCTGTGCTTTGTTAAATCAGGGCAAAGAAAAAGACAGTTTCTTCCATGAAGACACACCAGCATTCTCTTTTCCTAATAAATATTTCAAGACCTTTACAACTGAAAAAATGAGATGGTAACCAGATTGAATCATGTTAGTTCAGTGTCTTTGTGATGAATGAGGGATGTTTGACCATTCACTTTTCACCCAAGTTTAATATCAGCAGTATCTTACATAGTTATTGCAAGCCCTCCTAAGTGCAAGCCCTCCTAAGACTACTTCATTGAGAAGACAGAAGACCACCACACAGATACCACCTGCTTGTTTGCTTTGGATGACCTGTTCTTTCCATTAGTGCAGGAAGTCAAGCTCCTTAACCAGAAATCTCATTTTTCCCTTGCTTTAAAAATTGACAAGCAATTACAGAAGTGGCCACTATACAAAAAAACACTCCAAAGTATCTGGGCATGCAATACTACTGGTTCTATGTAATCAAAGATGAAAAGTGTTACTTTTTTTTTTTAGATAACAGGTAAGAATAAATCAGGAATACAAGATAACTCAGACACTTTTATAGAAATAAAAATCTTTGGCCCACAAGAGACAACATTTCTCAGAAACAGCCAGTATATGCAAAACAGCTCAGCGGTAAAGATGACAGAATAGGAGAAAAATAGAACAAGATTCAGGGACTAAATGCTCTTACTAAAACAAAGCAACTCTGGCAGCTGCAAGTACCAACACTTCACAACTGCATGTCCCTCTTCATGCCCTAGCACATACATAGCCCCTGTTGAGCCCACAGATTCTCAGTCTCAGACAAGGGTGAACAGAAGGCACATGTGCCTGTGCCCATAACTTAACAGCTGCAGCTCACCATCCACAATACTAACTTGAAGTGGATTTGTGCTAATGGACTAACATGAAATGCTGCTAGGTAGATACAGACACCATCACTTCTGCTGTTGCACACAGGAAACATGGTATGTGGCATGAAGTAGGGCATACAGTTGCAGAAAAGGAAGCTGCTGTAGCTAGGTCCTCCAGAGTTTATCCATCAGAGCCTTAGATCCAATCACTAACCAGAGAAACAAGCAAAGACATACCTACCTTTGTGTTCCCAAGGTGATCTCTAGACCCAGTCCAGTAAGTGTTTAAATAATTATGTACTACATCTGTTAGGTCAGACATCAAGTTATCCATCAGAGAGGAGTGGAGCAGCAGAAGGTACACAGCCTTCAGAGCAAGTGCTTTAAGCAGAGGTGGAAAGGGTCTCAAGAACCATATGTCAGTATTCTCCTGTGTATCCCAATGCAAATGAAAACAGTTATTTAAGTAGCAAAAAATATAACAAAGCTTTTAATCACATTCTTCTGCACTTTACAACATATGTCCCAATGCTGATCTGTATTGTCAGTGCTACTGAATGCTTGCAGCTTCTAAGGCCATCTCTGTACAAGCCTGTGGGTGTTAGAGAAGATGGAGTTTGGGAGGAAGGATTGCTTCTTTAAAAAAAAAGAAAACACCACCACACAAACCAAAAAACCCAACAGGCACCTATTCCAGCATTTAATGCTAGGTTCTCTCACCCTTCTCTGAAACTAGGCTGGATTCTTAAGAGCTGAGCTGAAAGATCTAAAGGCAAAAAACCCCTCTGATTAAGGGAGCTGGGGAAGCAGCTGGTGATAGTAAGATCGTCAGCCATCACAACTGGAACCAGAACAACATAAAAATAAGCCCCAGTTAAGCAGCATGACCATGACACCCTGAGCAAAACTGTCACTGCAGAACAACTTACACCGGTATACTTACTACATACGCATTATGCAGTCATTTTCCACTTTTAGTCTTTAGACCAATAGGAGGATTTGATCTGGTAAACTAAGGAAGGCATGTTGTCATTTGGCTTAGATTTGCCATACAGAATTCTCTAAATTTAAATTTTGAGAGACACTATTAGAATTCCAGAACTTATATAAAAATAAGGATATGTTCAAATTAGAGGTTTCACTGAGTAGCTGTTCTAGCAGTATCAAGTAACATGTAATCCAGGCTTTTGAGAAAGATTTAAGTCTATGAACATGCAGTGCAGAAACACTCACATTGACTCAGGAAGTTAGAATACCAGTATGAAGGGAGAAAAAATGCTCAGGTAGGAAGGAGATTGTTCCTATTCAGTAAAGAAATCCTGCCTATATAATGAGGTCCCATTAAGTACCCAGTTCTCATATTTAATATCTTTTTTTTTAAAAACGCCCCCCCCCCCCCCAGACAAAGCAAGGGCAAGTGATTAAAAACCCAGCAAAAAGATACCTCAACAGGCACTAGCATATTTATATACTATTTGTTTAACTTGTTTGATACTGTTCTATAACGTGACCTGCCTAGCAGATGAAGGGAAGGCAGCAGATACAGTTTTTCTGAATTTTAGTTAGGCTTTTGATACTGTCCCTCGCAGCATCCTTCTGGACAATTTGTCCAGCTGTGGGCTGAGGGGGTTCACAGTGCTCTGGGTGAAGAACTGGCTGAAGGGCAGAGCCCAAGGGGTAGCACTGAATGGGGCTACAGCTGGCTGGTGACTGGTCATCAGCGGTGTTCCTCAGGGTTTAATTCTAAGACCAGTTCTGTTCAATGTATTTATGAACAATCTGGGTGCAGGAGTTGCAAGCACCATTAGCAAGTTCACTGGGGATACCAAACTGGGAGGTGCTGTTGACTCTCTGAAGGGACAGCGGGCCTTGCAGAGGGATCTCAGCAGATTGGAGCCTTGGGCTATGATTAATGGGATGAAGTTTAATAAGTCCAAATGCCAGATTCTGCACCTAGGGCAGACTAATGCCGGGCACAAGTACAAATTGGGAGAGGAGTGGCTGGAAAGCAGTCCTGCAGAAAGCGGTCTGGGGGTGCTGGTTGACAGCAGGCTCAATCCGAGTCAGCAGCGTGCCCTGGCAGCCAAGAGGGCAAACCACATCCTGGGGTGCATCAAACACAGCCTCACCAGCTGGTCAAGAGAGGCGATTGTCTTGCTGTATTCAGCACTGGTGTGGCCTCACCTTGAGTACTGTGCACAGTTCTGGGCCCCACAATTTAAGAAGGATGTGAAGTCCCTTGAATGCGTCCAGAGGAGGGCAACAACGCTGGTGGAAGGGCTGGAAGGCATGGCCTATGAGGAGCGGCTGAGGACTTTGGGCTTGTCTAGTTCAGAGAAAAGGAGGCTGAGGGGTGACCTCATTGCTCTCTGCAGCTTCTTGAGGAGGGGAAGTGGAGAGAGAGGTGCTGATCTCTTCTCCCTGGGATCCAGGGATAGGATGCATGGGAACTGTTCAAAGTTGCACCAGGGGAGGTTTAGACTGGACATTAGGAAGTATTTCTTTACTGAGAGGGTGGTCAGATGCTGGAACAGGCTTCCTAGAGAGGTGGTCGATGACCCAAGCCTGTCAGTGTTTAATAGGCATTTGGGCAATGCACTTAATACGCTTTAACTTGGTCAGCCCTGAATTAGTCAGGCAGTTGGACTAGATGATCATTGTAGGTCCCTTCCAACTGAAATAGTCTATTCTATTTATCAAGCTTACATTCCCCAAATCTTAGGAGCTCATGGCCCATTAAGTTTTCCCTTGCTTGTCCCCATCTGAAAGATTAACAAAAACAA